TTTTTGTTGTTCTTAGATTGCCTCTTTTATTCTTTGATTAAAAAAAATTGTAGGGAATTCCCTAGCAGTCCAGTGGTTAAGATTCCACACTCTTGCTGCTGGCCCTGGGCTGATCCCCGCCCCCCCAAAAAATCAGTCTATTCTTATTTGTGCAATTGTTTCTTCTAAGAATAGTGAAATTCTTTTGAAAGTTCTTTTCTCTTTCAAATTATAATGTTTTTTCCAGAGTCAGTTATTCTATTTGTCCTCATCCTCTTCTTTTGTGCTCCTGGCTTTTTTCCCAGATCACTTAGAAACAGAAGTAAAAGCGTAGTATGACCATTACAGGCTGGCTCTACTTCCTTTGGATAGTTTTATTTCCTTAGCAAGCCACTCCCCTGAATGCAAAGATGGGACCCCGAGGTCTGCGTAGGTAGGCAAAATGTGTAAGTTCACTGGTTTTACCCTAGGATATTAAAAGGAACTTGCAGGCAAAAGTGAGTCCCCCAAATTTAAAATAAAGTGGGTATTACTCTGAAGTGATGACACTGACATTAGAAGCCCTAGTCCTCTGCAGAGGTTGTTAAATTTCTTCAGAAAGCAGTTCTCTTGTTTGAGACTGGAAGTCAAATACATTTGTTCTTGCTATATGGATGCCTCTAGGGGTGGCAGCATGGTACAGAGGGCCAATGGTTGTCCAGGCTGTCTTATGGGCAGTTTTAAAATTAGCTGTCCTGATTATTATATCCACATATCTTATTCCTGCTCTCCATTCCTGCTCACTCAAGCTTGGAACTACTCTTGAGGAATGCATTTCTGCTGAAGAGGAATGCACTGCTACCAAAGCTTCCACTATTCTGGCTTACCTATCAGTACACTCTAGCTACTTTCTGCCTTCCCAAAGGCCATCAACTTCTTGGGCCTGCTGATGGTTCTTCATCCTCTGTCAGGGAATTTATTTTCTATTTGTACTTTCTCACAGTCATTGTACTGGGCTCGAACAGGAAGTCTCAACATCCTTCTTAAAGTAGATGTCCAAGAGTGGGCATGGGACCCAAGATAATATTCCCTATTTTCTGAAGGTAAGATTGCATGAAAGAGCTCATAAATGTAGGAATTCATAGTAGCTACTCGGCTAGTGTAGTCGCTCTGGGCATCTACACCACTTCTCTGCTGAATCCACCTTGTAGGAATTTGAATAGAGAACTACATTCTCTCTTTGAAGACTCCCATTGCAGATCTCTCCATGTGGGCGTGAATGCTAAGTCGCTTCATGTCCAACTCTTTGCAACCCTATGAACTGTAGCCTGCCAGGGTCCTCTGTCCATGGGGACTCTCCAGGCAAGACTACTGGAGAGGGTTGCCATGTCCTTCTCCAGGGATGGAACCCTCATCTCTTAAGTCTCCTGCATTGGCTGGCAGGTTCTTCACCACTGTACCACCTCGGAAACCCAGATACCTCTGCTTTAATCTGCTCTAGGCCTGCTATTCAGCTACTATCCTAGGATTTCCTTTCAGTGTTTGCATGTTTCCTGGCTTCCAAATCTTTCTTGGTTTATTCTCTTCTCTTGCTTGAGTATACTTCAGAAACTTCCTAAGAGAAGATACGTAAGGAGTCTTTGCACATACTGAAATTTCTTTATACTTGCATTTTATTGACAGCTTCAATGGATTTAGAATTAGAAGATGCAAATATTTTTCTGGCAGACTTTCGAAGGCAACAACATTTACCTTCTGCTGTTGCCGTTGAGAAGGCCAATGCCATTCTGACTCTTGTTTATGACCTTTTATTTCTCTCTGAAAGCTCTTAGGATCTTTTTTAAAATTTTATAATTTCTTCACATGTGGTCAGATTTCCATGTTAAATAGAATTGTCATGTGTTTTAATTTTATCTCCACAGGGAGAGAGCAAGCATAGCAGAAAGAGAATTGACTCTGAAAAGTTATGCCTAGATGGATAGGTGTGATTATTGAATAAAATTACATATGTAAAGCATCTGGCACATATTGACGCTCTACCTCCCCAAAGTGAATGTAGATACTTGAGAGCTGGACCCAGGACTTATAAATCCTATGGTCCTTATAACACCCAGCACATATTAGATTCTCAATAAAAATGACTTCGCCTCACCATACACAAAAATAAGCTGAAAATGGCTTAAAGACTTAAACAAAAGACATCATCATAAAACTCCTAGAAGAGAGCATAGGCAAAACATTCTCTGACATAAATTGTACTGATGTTTTCTTAGGTCAGTCTCCCAAGGTAATAGAAATATAATCAAAAATGAAAAAAAACGGGACTTTTTTCAAAAATGAAATGAAAATGGGACTAATCAAACTTACAAGCCTTTGCACAGCCAAGGAAACCATAAACAAAATGAAACGACAACCTACAGAATGGGAGAAAATGTTTGCAAATGATGCAAGTGAAAAAGGCTTTCTTTCCAAAATATACAAACAGCATAAACAAATGAACAACAAAAACCAAACAACCCTATCCAAAAATGGGCAGCAGACCTAAATAAAATCCAAAAAAGATACACAAGTGATTAACAGACACAAGAAATAATGTTCAACATCATGAATTACTAGAGAAATGCAAAGCAAAACTATAATGAAATACCACTTTAACTGGTCAGAATGGTCATCATCAAAAAGTCTACAAATAACAAATGCTGGAAAGGGTATGCAGGAAAGGGAATCCTCTTACACTGTTGGTGGGAATGTATATTGGTACAGCCACTGTGGAAAATAGCATAAAGAGTCCTCAGAAAACTAAAAGTAGAATTACCATACAATCTAGCAATCCCACTTCTGGTCATACACTCAGACAACACTATAATTTAAAAAGACACATGCACCCCTAGGTTCACAGCAGCTCTATTCATAATAGTCAGGACATGAAAACAAAGTAAATGTCCACTGACAGATGAATGGATAAAGATGTGGTACATATATAAAATAGAATACTACTCAGCCATAAAAAATAATGAAATAATGCTATTTCCAGCAACATGGATGCAGCTAGAGATTTTCTAACCGCGTATTAATACTAAGTGAAGCAAGTCAAAAAGAGAAAGACAAATATATTATGATTTCACTTATATGTGGGATCTAAAATATGGCACAAATGAACCTATTTATGAAACAGAAATAGAATCACGGACATACAGGACAGACTGGTGGTTGCCGAGGGGGAAGGATGGAGTGGGAGGTTGTTGGGGTTAGCAGATGTAAGCTTTAGTATATAGAATGGATAAACAACAAGGTCCTACTGAACAGCATAGAAAATTATAGTCAATATCCTATGATAAACCATAATGGAAAAGAATATTTAAAAAGGATAGCCGAATTACTTTGCTGTATAGCAGTAATGAACACAACACTAAATCAATTACACTTTAATAAAAAATATGACTTGATAATGAGTCTCTGACATTATTTTTCTGTGGGACTTTATGTTAATTATCTTTACTATGACCTATCTTGCATATTTGTCAGCGGGAAAAGTTATTTCTTGACTTATTGTTTATAGATGTTGTGAAGCTTCTGTAAGTGAATGTGAAAATATTCTAAAAAGTTAAAATTCCTCTACAGGTGTCAAGTATTATCACTACCTTTCAGATAGGTAACCAGGTAGTTGAGCTTTCTTAGGCATATGGGAGATAGCTTGTTTTGAAGACATCCCTAGGTTAAATTACCTAGCTTTTTCCCTAATGATACACTCTCTGATATTGTCAAAGGCATATTTACCTCTGTTGCCTTTCTGAATTCTCAACTATGATTACCTTCTTCATTAATAAACCAGAAAATATCACTTTGTTTCAACTGCTGAAAGCTATGCAGACAGTAGTGGAAAGAAAAAGATAGTGAATACTATTCTCTGGTCTCAAAGCTGAATGAACCTTCCTAATTTTCTAAAATCCCAGTGGTGCTAGTGGTAAAGAATCTGTCTGCCAATGCAGGAGATGCAAGAGACACCAGTTCAATCCCTGGGTTGGGAAGATCCCCTGGAGGAGGGCATGGGAATCCACTCCAATATTCTTGCGTGGGAAATCCCTTGCACAGATGAACCTGGTGGGCTACAGTCTGTGGGGTCACAAAGAGTTGGACATGACTGAGCATGCATACACACATATGATAAGCATGGAAATTAATTAATCTTCAATTTAAACTTTTATTCTCAAAGCTGATAATCATCTACTGAGTGCTTTAAAAAAATTTTTTATTGGAGTATAGCTGATTTACAATGCTGCGTTGTTTCAGGCATACAGCAAAGTGAATCATTTATACATATATCCACTCTTATAGATTCTTTTCTCATATAGGTCATTCCAGAGTACTCAGTAGAGTTCCCTGTGCTATATAGTAGGTCCTTGTTAGTTACCTATCTTATATATAGTAGTGTGTATATATTAATCCCAATCTCCCAAATTATCTCTCTCCCCTTACCCCCTAGTAATCATAAATTTGTTTTCTACATCTGTGACTATTTCTATTTTGTAAATAAGTTCATTTGTACTCTTTTTTTTTTAAGATTTCACATATAAGCAATATGTACTGAGTGCTTTTCAAATTTCATTTCTTAGCATTAGAATCCTCTATTCTCTAACTGAAATTTTACAGAACAGATAAATGTGAGGTTGCTCATTTCAAATCAGGAACTTCAGAATGAAGAGGCCAGAACAAAACTCTTGATCTTCTCTACTCCCCCTGCAGCAGACCTGAGCATTCTCTAAGGAAATAGAGTTTGAAAATCATTGGTTTAAGTAAGGTGATCTTATTAATCTAAGTAAGATTTTATTGAAGTGGTCATGAGTAAAACTGGCTATGAAGAAAAAGAAAAAAAATGTCAATGAGTTTTCTTCTTATCTGGTCCAAATATAAGTGTGTGGGGTCCTAAAACTGTTTGGGACTTTCAGACAAGTAAATTCTGACTTGAAAATACCAGCTACTGCTGGAGAAGGAAGAGAAGAAGGCCTATTTGTAAAAATAGAGAAAAAAGGTCTTTAACTTACCCAGAGCACAAGGACATTCATGAGGTGGTCTATGTGTGTCCGTTTAAAGGTCGACTTCCCACTGTTCTGCATTACTTTGGTGTCTGGTCCTAAATCAAACAGGGAGACATCATCTCTTAGAATCACTAAGTATTCTCAAGGACTGAAACTGGGTTGAAATACACCTTTATGATCACTTTATCAAACTTCTTTCCAATGCTAAAGGATAAAGCCTTGGAGAAAGGCTCGTGGTTGGTGCCCCAAACTCAAAGAATGGAAAATTTATTTCTTAGGATAATCCCAATTACTTCTTCAAGCTGCATCAATGCTGACACCTCCCTCTCTTTGCAGCACCTTAGACAGTCTAGTTTTTCATTGATAAGTTAGAATAGGGGCCTCAAGCTTCTTTCTCATCACCATCTGGTTTATTTAGCTTAGAAAAAGGGTCTTCTTTTTTTTTTTCATTTATTTTTATTAGTTGGAGGCTAATTACTTTACAATATTGTAGTGGTTTTTGCCATACATTGACATGAATCAGCCATGGATTTATATGTATTCCCCATCCTGATCCCCCCTCTCACCTCCCACCCCATCCCATCCCTCTGGGTCTTCCCAGTGCACCAGTCCTGAGCACTTGTCTCATGCATCCAACCTGGGCTGGTGATCTGTTTCACCCTTGGTAGTATACTTGTTTCAATGCTATTCTCTCAGAACATCCCACCCTTGCCTTCTCCCACAGAGTCCAAAAGTCTGTTCTGTACATCTGTGTCTCTTTTTCTGTTTTGCATATAAGGTTATCGTTACCATCTTTTTAAATTCCATATATATGTGTTAGTATACTGTAATGGTCTTTATCTTTCTGGCTTGCTTCACTCTGTATAATCAGCTCCAGTTTCATCCATCTCATTAGAACTGATTCAAATGAATTGTTTTTAATGGCTGAGTAATATTCCATAGTGTAAGAAAAAGGATCTTCTGACAAGGAGATCTTCACCTTTTGAGGAAACCCATAGCTGGACCAGGCTCTATTTAAAGTTTCTAACTAGGAAATGGAGAAAGTAAAAGGCAATGGCAAGTGATTTCTTATGAGGTGGGAGCTGAGATTTCTCTGGAGCTGAGCGATACAGACTTTGAACTTCATGATAGGACAGACAATAAGTAGAAATAAAGGACTTTTAGTGACACACTGGGACTGGAAATTATTATCTCACTGTGGTTGTTGTGACCAATACTCACCGCCAGCGAGGACACAGGGAGCACAAGAGCGTCCTTCATTTTCCGGCACTACATCACAACTCCAGAAAGTCCCTGACTAAGTATAAGGGATTACGGTTCTAAATGCCATCTCAGGACGGGCCACTGCTCAGGAGCCACATGTGCCTTTTCTCTGGCATGAACACTTCACACTGTATTTTATCTTCTCCATAATGAGCACCATGTTTATTCTCCCCTCATGCAAGTAATCCACATATATACCTTCCCGTTTCACATTGTTCTCCTTTCAAATGCTAATTCTATGTATACTTCTATGTGTATACCTTGTCTTGTGTCCAGATGTGGTTAGAAAGACTCATGAATGTTCTGTGGCCTTGGAACACAAAGCCTTGTACTATCAAAGGCAGGGCTGATATGCTGGCAGCTCAGTGTTTGGAAAAAAAGTCATTTTTTCTCCCTAAGAAAGAAGTTTTTTCTTAATTCCTCCACCCATCTATCCATCTCCCTGCCTCCCTTCCTCAAAGCCATAGTGTTCTGGTATATATCTGAGCATCATATCCACATCATGAAAACTAAGAATCCACAGTGTGGCTGTGAACGGAATCCAGCAGGCTGGGGGTCTGTGACTCCAGAAAGACGCACCAGTAAAAATCACCAAGCCGTAGCACCAGTCCGTGTTCCTGATGACACAGCCTCGGAGGATCAGTCTGTCATGATTCAGGATGTAGTTTTTTCCCTTATACATGAGTATTCCTGTGAATCTGTCCAGCTTGTTATTGGGAGATTCACACCTCACTTCTCCTGGGGGAAAAAAAAAGGAATAAGAGTCTTGACTCTGTAATCTTAATTCTTTCGTAACGGGAAAGAGGAAGCTTAATAGAAAAGAGGAAAGAACAAGCCTCTTTCAAAATATACACACATCTTCTTTTCCTATCATTTCTCAGCCACTGCCCATTTCTCAGCAGCTCCCTTTAGAAAGGCAGACAAAGGGTTCTGGGCATTAGAGAAGAGTAATTCTGTGACATTGGTTATCCAGAAAGAGAACAACTCAAACGATAACTTATTACCATTAGTACTTCCAGATCAAATGAGCTAAATCTGAATAAATTCAGAAACTACTTAAAGCAAACCTAGTATTTTTTTCAAAATGGAAATAAGTTAATTTTTTCATGATTAGTAAACTAAAATATGCCCTTTGTAAATATATATACAACATTAAAAGGAGAAAGTAAAATTCACTCATTGCCTAGAAATAAGTGCTGTTAACCTTTTATAGTATATCCTTCCAAGATTTTTTCTATATATATTCATAAACATGTATATATTTCCAAAGACAAATTTATGTTACATTATACTATGCATAGTGTATTATAATCTTTTTACACTTATATGTTGTGAATATTTTTCCACATAAGTAAATATCAACTTGCATACTGTTTTTTATGAGTTATATAGAATTCACTATATGGCTGTATCACACTTTAACCACACCTCCACTGATAAAAAATTTGGGTTGGCAAATCTATTTCAAAACTCACCATCAAAAGCAGACAGAAGCTTCAGATTATCTTCCATCTCACTGGTAACCGAGATGGCCTGCTTCACTTTCAAGTTGGTTTCACTACAGTAAAGAATGCACATAGATAACAGCGGTACAGGTCCAATTTCTCCTACGTTAGGAAACAGTTTTTGCCAACAGAGCTTGGCTTTTAGACTTGACTTGTTTGAGTCACTCCTACTGTCATCCTCTCTCAAGGACAGTATTGAGGCAGAATGGTTCTACAAGGAAGCTAAATATTAGCCCACTTGCTCCCCTCTCTCCCTGAAACACGTATCAACTACTTTAACCAACCTATGAGACCTTGCTGGTCAGATGCTCTAGAAAAGCTGAAGAAACATCACAAAACAACCTGGAGGTGGTACCTACTCCCTTCAAGAGTAAGGTCCTGGAAAGAACCTGTGAAAACTTCCAAGTAAACGTACTCTTCATCTCACAAATATTTATAGGACCCATAAACGGATTCCAGCTAACCATTATTTGATACAGAAATGCACAGAGACAGAAGTAAAAAAGAAGCCACATTTCAAAAAGTTTGTGTGCACTAAGAGAAAGAGTTTTAAGGATGCAGATTAACATAAAACTCCACAGGACAAGCTCTCTGAAGATGGCCTGTCTTCCAAAGATCTTAGCTTTTGCACATTAATGAATTGCTACCTTAAATCCTTTCCAGAACATGGTCTATCAGCACAGAATTATTTCAGTATTCATTCCCCCACCCCAAGAAACTGTGGAACTATATTCTGAAATTTCATATTCCGGTTAACTTCTTTCCTACCACTCAGCATTATTGAATATAGTCAGACTGAATGTTTCCAATTTGAAGATGGAGAATATTTGCCCAGATTCTGCCCCTAGTTGGATGCTCAATTATCTGTCAAGAGCTCAGCCTTAGACTTGAGGCCTCCCATCTTATCTGGATATTTCTAGCTTTTAGCACTTCATTCTCTGTATCATGCTCCCCCTCAGTGAGAAATCACTCTAAGCTGGCTTAACCATCTTAATGGACTATGAGGAAGGAACACTCACCCATCCAGTTCTGCAGTTTCTATATATGTCAAACTGTAGGGCTCGCTGCTTGAGAGTAATAGTATATCAGCCTGCAGTCAGGAAAGGCAGAGAAGATAAGGAAGGCAGACTTTTAAAATTACAGTGTGACAAAAGCAATTACCTCAGGAACAGCTATTCATCCTTAGAATTTTATAGACATTGGGTTTACTTTCTTTGTCTCGAGACCCATCACTGGTACCACACACCTCCTTTCTCAAAGCCAGTCATACTTTACTTGGGGTTGTGGTGAGAAGTGGACAAGAACAAACTTCTTACCACAGGAGCTGGTGATCACAGTGAAGCAGGTGAATATCACCAAAAGGAGCAGTCACAGAAGTGCTAAAAAGGTTCCTTCTCAAGCCCAAAGAGAAAGAGTCACAGCCCAAAGAGGTACTCACCGTGACAATCTGATTGTTTTCTAGTTTAATTATATCTCCCACTTGGACATTCATCCATTTGTCTGTCACTATCCTGCAAGAAAGTGAGCCTTGAATGCCTGGATGCCAGCTCTGAGAATTTCCCTACAGTCCTGTTTTGACAATCGTGGCGGGGGATGGGGGAAGCTGAGATGAACTCAAAGCTCAGAGGAGGACCAAACTGCTTTGGGATACTCCTTGCCCAAGCAGCATTAAGAATGGGGCCCTTTTTCTGTTTTGCATATAGGGTTATCATTACTATCTTTTTAAATTCCATATATATGCATTAGTATACTGTATTGAGACATGTGCTCAGGGCTGGTGCACTGGGAAGACCCAGAGGGATGGGATGGAGAGGGAGGTGGGAGGGGGGATTGGGATGGGGAACACATGTAAATCCATGGCTGATTCATGTCAATGTATGGCAAAAACCAGTACAATATTGTAAAGTAATTAGCCTCCAACTAATAAAAATAAATGGAAAAAAAAAAGACAAAAAAAAAAAAAGAATGGGGGCCCATTTCTCTTGATCAGGCTATAAGAGTTTTCTAAAACTCTATAACGGTATATGTAGATATACAGGCACATAATTTTTTTTTAAGTAAAAGCAATATATGCATATGGTAAAAATACAGTTCAAATAATTTGAAAAAAAAAGAAAAAGAAAAAGTAAAGTCTCCTCTCTCCCCAGATTATAGTTTTGTCACTTAGAGCAATTTTCTGCATTTCTTTTGAGAAAATGTCAATCCATATAATCATATTCAAGATACACATTTAAAAATGACATACTAGATACATAATTTTCTGTACTTTGAGTTTTTCATTTAATAATAAATCTGAGAGAACACTTACAGGAGGTGTGGCTCATTCCTCTGGATAGCTAAAAAATGTGGCTTTTAACTAAAGAAGTGCTTGCAGCCAGATTTACTGACCACAATGACAGAAATCACAACTCAAAAAACAAAATTTTTCAAAGGTATTGATAACTCTGTTCAAACACATGTACTCTACAAAAAGGATGCCACTTTCTGGAATATAGGCAGTTCATCTCAAGTGTTAAATAAACCAGACATTCACTGGCTTACAGAGTCTAACCATTAGGGCCCTGCTGAACTACTCTAAAACCACTCTATGACAAGCTCTTCTGTAATAGTTTCATAAAACCCAAGTGCTCAAGCTCCTTGAGAAGTTCATTTGACTAAATTCACTCAGGAATTCCTAGCTTTACAAATTTCTTATACACTCAGTTTTATCTTTTCTCTTTATTTCTATAACTTTCTTTTTTATAAATTTTTTTAAATCACAACTAACTTTTTTAGTGATATCTTATGAGAGGCTTCAACAGATCAAAACACTTGAGGAAATAATCCATCATGAGTAAGAATCAGCAAACACAATAAGTAAGAGAATCAGATACCCAAGAACCTCCCATAACAGAATTCTATGACTAAAACTATAGTTCTTGATATGTGTGTGCTGAGTCACTCAAGATGAGTCCAACTCGTTGTTGACCCCAAGGACTGCAGCCTGCCAGGCTCCTCTGTCCATGGGGATTCTCCAGGCAGGAATACTAGAGTGGGTTGCCATGCCCTCCTCCAGGGGATCTTTCGAACTCAAGGATTGAAGCCAGGTCGCCTGCATTGCAGGCAGATTCTTTACCGTCTGAGCCACCAGAGGAGCCCAAGAATACTGGAGTGGGCAGCCTATCACTTCTCCAGGGGATCTTCCCAACCCAGGAATTGAACCGGGGTCTCTTGAAATACTATTCACCCATAAAAAATAATGAAGATTTTCCATTTGCAACAACATGGACGGACTTGGAGGATATTATGCTAAGTGAAATTAGTCAGACATATAAAGACAAATACTGTATGATATCACTTACATGTGGAATCTAAAAAATACAGCAAACTAGTGAATATAACAAAAAAGAAACAGACTCACACATATAGAGAACAAACTAGTGGTTACCAATGGAGAGAAGGGGGAGGGGCAAGATATGGGGAAAGGATGAAGAGGTACAAACCATGACATATAGAATAAGCTACAAGGATATATTGTACAACACGAGCAATATAGACTACATTTTATAATAACTATAAAGGAAGTATAACCTTTAAAAATTGTGACTCACTATATTGTATACCTGTAACATATAATGTTGAACATCAACTGTACTTCAATTAAAAAAAATTTTTAATATAAATATATATATATATATATAAAACTATAGCTACTGGGTATTGTGTAAGGTCACCATGAGAAAGGATTGGACCTCAATCTTGAATTCCCTCAGATCTGTACTTGTTTGTGATCATGCTTCTGCAAACACTGGTCACCTTTCATATAATCTCTATTTGTTGAATTCTTCCCCATCTTTTAAGCACAAACATCATCTCTTCTAGAAAGTCTTCCTTGATTTCTTTAGCCAGCTATGATTGCCTATTTTTCATTAATTCCTATGATAATTTTTGTACCTCTTATGATAATCTTCATTTTTTGCTTTATATAATTATGCCGGTCTCCCTCTATCCCTGCCAAAGGTAAATTGCTCCAATTTTGCAGAACCCCACAAAGCATTTACCCATACTTTAGATAGATAAGACCAAACACTACAGCAATGAGGTCAACACCAATATTTTCTTTAGATTGTTAACAAAAAGATGTCCTAACCAAAAGCTATAGTAGAATGGTCAATAAGTCATGTAAAGTCCACTGATGTACTAAAGACAGGCTTCTCCATGCTGACCACCATACTGGTAATAACCACTTGTATACTAATATCATGTCATAATTTGTTAATTTCTTTAATATATATTATTTTGTTTTCATTTTTGTAAGCATCCTCTAAGATAAAGAATATTATTTTCATTTTATAGATAAGAAATATGAGGCCCAGAGAAGCAAGTTCAGGGCATACTAGAAACGAACCCTTCCTATGTCCAGCCTGAGGCTCTTTTCACTGTCTTGAATCACCTTTCCAAACACATCAAGTTTTAGCAAGGTCAGTGCTCTCCCAGAGCTGGTCCAATCTAAACTGGCTTCCCAAGAAGCACTTACCTGCCATTCATCAGCACCAGAACAGAACGATTGTTGACTTGATTATCATTTTGGTGCCTTTTCTAAAATCATACAAGAAAATGTTCAGGAAATAGACATAGAGCAAAGTGCATTTAGAAGATTAATATTTTGAACTATTATTCAGTGTAGTTCCTCTTCTTTGTAACTCTCCCTTACCCTCACTTCTTCACCACCTTCCCCCCCAACTACTGGCCAATTCCAAGTTCTTTCACCATTAAAACCAGACCAAGAAGCTGGTTGTCTCTGAGAAGCTGGGAAAGGAGATCAGAAAAAGAATCAAGTGAGAAGAAAGAGACAAACTCTTTGTTTTAATATCAAGAGCCAAAGCCTGGGGTGATGAGAACAAATAACTTATGTTGAAAGTCACAGAGGAGAGAATGCAAAATGATGGGCCTACACCTTGGTAGGTGGAGGGAAGTTATGTATTCACAAGTATATCAATACCCCTACCCTCAACCAGAGTCAGCATAAGAAGCTTCTACCATGGATGCAATGAAGAAAGGGGAATAGAGGTCTATTCAAAGACCAAATAAGAGGGTGACAGATAAGGGTATGTCCTGATGCTAAGACTCACATGAGTCCCTTTCCTTTCAGCTGAGATTACTCCCTGGGAAGAGGGCAGAAAGAATCCTGAATTGGTCAGAATATTTTTCCTAAAGAGACTGAGTTCTAAACCAGAAGGAACTGCATGGGTTATCCTGAATTGGCAAGTTTAGCTTTCGGCTCTCATTAAAAAAGAGCTGAGATGGTGAGGTGGTGGTTATGAGTTACATTGAGTTTAGTTATGGGAAATTAAGTTATATTTTTGCACATTTGAGTTGTGCCTGAAATTTAAACCACTATATATGTTAATTCTGGGTTTAAAGAGTCACAGAGTTAAAGAGCTGGAGAAACACTCTGCTCTTAAACTTTGATATAAAAATCAGAAGGACTCTCTTAGGGAAGCTCCAAACAGGTCAATACGATGGGCTTCCCAAATCCCACTGGCAGGCACGGCAGGGGTTCCGCAAGTTCGCCCTCCCACCGGGCCCTGCTGTAACGGAGCACGCAGGAAGCCACCTGCACTCCTGAGAGCCAGCTTCTCCCACCAAGCCCAGGGGAAGAAGCCAGCCTCTGCTGAGTCATGATGCTCTCTAAACCCAGAGGTTCCTAGCTGTGTGCGCCTGACAGAACCGAAAGCTGGAGGGGGAAATACGGAGAGCCGGAGAGGAGAACGGGAATGTAGAAGGGAGATAAGACCGGAGGAAGCAAGGGGGAGAGGAAGAAGGGCAGGGGAACATAGAAATGGGAGAAGGGTGAATTCAGAAAGAAGGGTAAGAGCGAACCCAGAGAGAGCTAAGTGAAGGCAGAGGTGGGTTATGAAGGAGATGGAAGGAAACCTGGAAAAGGCGGCAGGAAGAAGACAGAGAAAGGCCTTGTGTGACCCCTTTCTGGCCATGGATGGCTCATCAATCTTGGGCTTACAGGATTCTCCTATTCCTCTGGCACAGATAAGGACATAGGGAAAGGAAACACCTCTTTCCCTTCAGTGCTTCCTTCTAGTATTAGGCAGTTCTAGGGAGTCCTTCATGCTCGCTCCCTCCCCAGCCTGACTAGGTACAGTGAGGGAAGAGAGGCCCTGGAAGCCACTTCACCACATCATCGATGGCATCTTTCACTGCTGTTATGGAGAGCACCACCATCAGGGGGACCACAGTCGTGTACCATGCCAAGGAGGAGATCTGGGGAATCAACTGGGAGAAGAAAGGGGAGAGAAACATGGGTCAGAAGCTTAAAGGACAATGTATTTCCTCCCAACCCCCACTCCACCACCATTTTCGCCCCCCTAGATTCATAATAAGTTCAACAATCCTAGTTGCTTTCCACTGTTACAACCTCCAAATAGCCACCCCAATATAAGCAAACACCTTCTAAAGATGAAAGAAGAGGAGATGATAAATTGCCAGGTACTGTCCTGAACTCTAATATCTTTGTCTTGATGGCAAAGAGCCATTCCTCTTCTGATAATGAAGGTGCTGGGGGTAGGGCATGAAGTGTGGACATGGGAGAACCACGTAGCCGCCTACACCCCTTCAGCACAAGGAGAAATGAGATGGCCCTCTCTCTCTCCCAACCTGGGCCTACTCTGCCCTGCTTCCGTGCCCCGTGCTGATGTTCCAAACCATTCTCCTCCCTTGGTGCTCCCACGCGTTAACTTTCTGCCAGGGAGGCTGGGACAAGGTGGAGGAACGGGGCTGCAGCTGAGGCGGGGGTGCAGAATCAAGTCTGTGGCCTTTCGCGGTTAAGCTGAACTGCGGTCATGCAGCCATGGTGAGGGAGCACCCTTACTTGGGACTTGGCAACCTTGTCTCCTTCCTCCTGGAGAGGCTTGTTTCACCCTGGCTAATCCTGACCACAGCTGTTCTAGGAGACTGGCCTGAGACTCCAGCCATTCATTTGCCTCTTGTCTAAAGAGAGAAGACATCTCTCAGTTTAAGAAGAAGGACTGATTCATAACCTGACCCCAGAGAAGCTGATAAAATATTCTGTGGAAAAGGCCCTAAAAGGTAATACCTGTAGAAGAAGCAAAAAGAGGAAATATGCATTTGCAAGTCTCTGGAACTGTTCAAACAGGTTCATAGGCAAGAAGGTTAAGACACTATATTTTGCGGTTTTGATGCTATTATCCTGTTAATAAAAGAACACAAGCAGAATTAGAGTAACAAAAGACTCCACCCCCAAGTCTTAACAAAAAGGACCAAGACCACTTCATAAAATAGGGAAAAGCTAATAGCTTCCCAACATAGTGAGGGAAGGAAGGAAGAAGTGGTTGTCTCCAGACTCTTGTCTTTGAGGCCCAGAGAGGCTTGTGTATGTATGCAAAGATGGCAAGGTTAATCAATATGGGACATTTTTAGGAGGGGCAGGATGTATTTGTGCCCTGAGTAGAATTCTTTGTTTATTGATGCTATTGATAATAATGATGATAATAAAATCAACAACAGTCAAAACTTATTAAATAATTACTATGTGTAAAGTACTATGCTAAGTACTTTAGTACTATTCTGAGTATTTTAGAAAAAGCAACTTATTTAATTCTCAAAACAACTGTAAGAAGGGAGTAATATCACCTTTTCAGGATGCGGAAGCTGAGGCCCTGAGGTGAATTATTTGCCGAAGACTATCCAGTTACTTGTGGAGTTGAGACTGTGCTGTTCCCTGAGCCCCAGTTCACTTGTGCAGCCATCCAAAGCTTTCCTTCCTTAGAATCAGAAATCTCTCTGTTCATCTCATCCTCTGACTCAAGGTCCTTCGTGGTGCCAAACAGTGGCAAGTTCGCCATTTGTGTTCACTCTGCTCAGAGCTCTCTACTGAAGCTTTTCTTGAGTCTGGCAAACCCATTTTGGTGTGTCTTTACATGTTGCTTTCAGTGCTGAAAGGTGTCAGACGCCAAAAGCAAATGAGTGTCCTTCAACCTTAGCCCACTGAAGGTTCCTACACTGGTTGCTTTCAGCACTGGAGAATCACTTGCCCCTTAATTGTCCTGGGGGAGGTCTGAATAGTTTTGGCTTACATCTGAGCTATCATTTTGCTGAGTAAAAATGGGAACTTGCTACCTCTTCAATGCTGATCTCAAGATGTTGACAAGACCATCTTACTTTCTACTTTTGGCTCTTCAGTTGTTTGACCTAAGATGTAAGGGTTCGAACCTAATAGCTTAAGAAAAGTAGGAGAATGAGACCAAATAATCCCCTAAGGACAGGGCTTCTCTCCCACCTCCTCCACCTATAGGGTCAAACAAGAACAAACCTACCTGCAGTCCTGGAAAACAGACGCTGCTTAAGCATGAAGAATCTTTGCTGGGTCCTACCTTGGGAAGACATCTGAATAACTCTTGAAGAACCAACATCTTTTTGTCCTAAGGCTAAAACTGGCCTTGGGAAACTAGACAGGCAACCCAGTCAAGTCTTGCTTAAGGTCTGTTTCCTTAGAGAAGAGAAGCTGGTCAAGTAGCTTAGCACTTAGGAGTTTAGAGATCCAAGTTAAACCTAAGACTTCCTTGGTATTCTCCATGACTTTTCAATTAATGATCAATCAAACACTATACATTTCTCAAGGTTTGTTCTGTTCACAGCTCTACGCTGGGCTATACTAGTAGAGACTGGAAAAGAATTAAACAAAATCTGTTCTGGAAAGTTCACAGGTATGTCCTGAATGGAGGTCTAACTAAATGACCTCTAAGGCCCCTCCCAACCCTGAGGGTATGCTATTCGAACATAGAAATGATTTTCTGTGATTTTAAGAGAGCCTGGATTTTTTAGTGTCTAAGTCCAGATGACTCTGATACTTGGGCCCAAAGATCTTTTGATTTTTACCTTACTAAAGCAGTTAGCTTTAGTAAATTTTCCATTTGACTTTACAGTTAATGTATTTGGTTTCTACTTATTTGGGTAGCATTGTTTTTTAGAAAACAAAGACAAAAGCTGTGAAGATTCTGTCCCAAGATAGACAAATCAGTACTTCTTTACTAACTTGGCAGCTAGAGTGTTTTGTCCTACTCTTAAATGTCAAACCAGAAGCAAGAATCTTAAGGATGTAGAATATTTGCTTAACTATGGATAATTCCTTTGACATGATAGAGATGGTAGATTTGGGCTTGGGGCATTTATTTATTTGGGCAGGGATATCCCCTGGTGGCTCAGACAGTAAAGAATCCACATGCAACGCTGGAGACCGGGGTTCGATCCCTGGGTTGGGAAGATCCCCTGGAGGAGGGTATGGCGACCCACTCCAGTATTCTCGCCTGGAGAATCCCCATGGACAGAGGAGCCTGGCGGGCTACAGTCCATGGGGTCACAAAGAGTCGGACAGGACTAAGTGACTAAGCACAGCACCCGGCTGACTGCTAAAGTGGAAAATAGAAAACAGAAGGCCCAGGATATAATGAGAATCAGGAGTTATGGGGTCGAAAAGAGGAAAGGCAGCAGTGGTGGTGGTGGTTCAGTCACTAAGTCATGTCTGACTCTTGTGATGTCCGTGGGACTTCCCAGGCAAGAATACTGCAGTGGGTTGCCATTTCGTTTCCCAGGGAATCTTTCTGACCCAGGGATCAAACCCATGTCTCCTACATTGCAGGCAGTCTCCTGCATCACAAATGGATTCTTTACCACTGAGCCGCCAGGGAAGCCTAAAAGGAGTAGGAATGGAAGAAATTAGAGAAATAGGGAAAAAATGACCAATGGGTAGGGCCAGGGAAATGCAATGGTTGTTAAGTACATAAGAATCAGTCAAATCAGTTTACTTGTTCATCAATTATTTGCATACATTTACTGAATTTCATTTATGGGCCAGATATTGTGATGGGAAAAGTAGTTACAGAGATGAATGAAATTTGTACCCTTTTGTTAAAGGGTAACAGTTTTTTGGTGAAAGAGAACTAACATTTTCACAACCATATTTAACTCTAACAACCACCATGTACAGTGAACATTATTATGTTCTTTTTATAGATGAGGGAACTGAAGATCAAAGAAGTTAAAATAAATAATGTGCCTAAGGATACAACGTTAGTAAGGAGTAGAGCTATGTTCAAACTCAGAGTGATGCCAAAACCTGCACCTTAGAGTTACTTAGAAAAATTTTAGAGAGAGGAAAAGGTAGAGAAGGAGAAACCTGTTCCCACAGCCATGTCCTAAATACTGTTATTATCCAGAGCCTCTCTAACTCAGAAATCATAAACTAGTATCCTATAGAGACTACTGTGTGTATATATATATACACACACACACATATATATACACACATGCATATAGACATATACTATAATACATAGTATATATATACATATATATTATATATAGTATATATACACATATATATTATATACTTACAGCACTATATATTAATATATCTACATATGAATAAAGTAACATATAAGTAAAAATTGCTTCTAATTGTAAAAGATTGGAAACAATCCAAATGTCAATTTGTAAGAAAGTGGTTACGTAAATTATGCTCTCTGCCAGGGAAGCAGTTGAAAAAAGAAGGAAAATGCTATTATGAAATTATAATTATGAAAACATCTCCAGGACATAACATTAAGATTCAGAATAGTTTAAGAAAGTGGGAAAATGAGAATATATATGTGTGTGTGTGTGCGTGTGCATTTGTGTGTATATTTGCTTTATTTGCACAAAGAAGCACTGCTGAATATATGATAAACTAATAAAAGTGATTCCTTCTAGGAAGCAGAGATGTGGACAAGGATGGGGTATTGGAGCATGACTTTTAAACCATGTATCTTTTTATCAGTTACTTATTTATAAATAAATAACTGAAAATGAACAATCTAATAGGAAATGGGCAAATACCATTAACAGTTGTTTCCATAAAAAGATGTACAAAGGCTAATTAACAAAAAAATTACTGCTCTCACTCAAAATTAAGGAAAGATAGATAATGAAATGTCATTTTCCACGAAAGGGTCTGGTAAAGATAAAAAAGACTGACAATACCAATGTGGCAGGAATATGGAGAAGTGAGATGTCTTTGCTATAGATAGAAATATAAATAGATATAACCCTTTTAGAGGGCAATCTGGCAATACGTATCAAAAATTTAAAGTGTTTCATTTTTGATCTGGCCAATTCACTTCTAGGAAACTCTCCTAAAGTATATTTACACAAATGTGCCAAAGCATATGGTGTATAAAATGGTGTTCATTTAGGGCCATTTATCACAGCAAAATATTGGAGAAATATTTTTTGGAGGGGGCACCTGGATATAAAAGGAGATACTTAAAATGTTAATCAGTAAGAAACTGGTTAAATCAATTAAGGTATATTGATACAATGGAAAACTATGTTGCTATTAAATGAATTAATAGCAGGAGGAGAAGGGGATGACAGGATGAGATGGTTGGATGACATCACCAACTCGATGGACATGAATTTGAGCAAGCTCTGGGAATTGGTGATGGACAGGGAAGCCTGGCTTGCTGCAGTCCATGGGGTCACAAAGAGTCAGACACGACTGAGCAACTGAACTGAACTGATAGCTAATATTGCCCAGGGGTTTTTGAATGGATCTAGTTGGCCCTTGAAACACTCGGGTGTTAAGCACAGCAACACCTGTGAAGTTCAAAATCTGTGTATAATTTATAGTTGGCTCTCAGTGTCTGAGGTTTCACATCCACCAATTCAGCCATCCTTGGACTGAGTGGTACCACAGTACATATTTCTTGAAAAAAGATCTCTATGTCAGTGGACCCACGCAGTTCAAACCTGTTATATTCAAGGATCAACAGTAAACAGTTGAAGATTCTTATCCCTAAGAGTGTACCATGTAAATTGTTTTAGGTCTTGGCCTTAAGAGAAAATAGTCAAAAAATATGGAAACGTGGTTAAAAAATCAAATAAAAATTATAAATTTAAATAGTAATGTCATTAATTTAATATTTGATATTCTCAGAACACGATGATTCACTGTGAAAAGTTCTGACTCCCTTTTAAAAACGCATAAAGTATTTAAAAGGTAGATCATGCAAGGTTTTTAATAATGATGAAATAAATTGGCAAAACAGAAATAATGAATGTTAATATATTCTAGTCAAATCGTAAGATATGGGTTGAAAATGTTTACAAAATTTACTTTGACACACGTGTATTTGAAATGATAGATTATTCTTAATGTAATTTGCATATATATTTGCTTTTTTCCCTTCTTCTTAGGAATTAGATACACTTAAGCAACAGCTAGATTCACTGAATATGGAAAAAGAGACCTTGGAATCTGTAAGTATAAAATGAAGTAAAAATTTTCATATTACTCAGCTGCAAAAGGTATCTCAGTTGAATATATTAATGGAACTCATTCAGGTATATATTTATTTCATAGTTTACTAACAGAAGTATAATTTTTTTCCCATTCAGAACTTCAAATATCCTAGTTTAGTAAAAAAGTAGATTCAGTGGGCATGGCAACCCATTCCAGTATTTTTGCCTGGAGAACCCATAGACAGAGGAGGCTGGCAGGCTATAGTCCAAAGGGTCACAAAGAGTCAGATATGGCTGAGCGATTGAATTGAACTGATTAAATGAATTAGGAAGGTATACATGTATTATCATAGAGAGATATCTAAGTGAAAAAATAAAACTGTGAAACTATGCTTTCATTTGTTCAAGCTAGAGTATTTCTTTTCAAGGAGCTATATATGAAACCAAAATTTGAGACACATCCTCTCCTGAGCCTAGGTCACTGGATTAATTTGGTTTCTCAGCCCTCACTGCACCAGCCCTCATTGTACAGGAGCTTGAAAGAAAGTAGAACCTATGTTGTAGGATTTACATCTACAAGGAACTTCCTGCCTCACTAACAATGGGGAATATTAGAGAAAAACATCAGCCCTCTCTTGAAATAGCTAGAGACCAGATACTCACCGGGTATCCAAACAGACTGTTAAATTCTCTATTGTTGGCTTGCAGATATCGCTCTCGTTCTGAAAAAGACGAGAGAAATGATGAGCAGGATGCCCCTCTGAGATGAGCCTGGGATGCTGGCTGCCAGTGACTTCACTAGCATCTCACATGTTCTCACCAAGGATATCTGTCCACAAACAGGTGTTTGTCTCTTTGTTCAAAGAATCAAGCAATACGGTAAAAATGGAAACCCTCAAGTGTTCGAGCTTTCTGGAGGCAAGAGGACAAGCAACTTCTGAGGAGCTCTCCACCATTAAAGCTTCTAGTAACCCCAGACTATATTCCCACAGACAACAGGATGGCCTGCGTCAACATTACTGCCAAACACAGAAACTCAGTCCTCCTTCATAAGTTAATTACAGCAATAGTTTTAGATACCCGAGGTTCTTTCTAAGGGCAGCCTTTCCTAAATTTGCTTGACTAAATCTGAATTAATAAATCATTACCAGTATCTACTGCACAGAAACCAGTGTGCTGGATGCTGTGAGGAGATAAAAAGATAAGTAAGGCAGAGTCCTTACTTGTGATTTAGTGGAGTCGGCCTGATAACAACACATGACAAAATCATCACATCAAAACACATAGATGTCACAAACTATTACAGATAGCTCATTACTGTGTTATAAAACATCTCAAAAATATAAATTATCAACAGATCTTTCTGTCCTGAATAAAACATTCCTATCGCCTCTTGAATTCTTCATTGGTTCAACAAGCATTTACTGAGTTCTTGGCAGGTGTTAAGCCCTGTGTTATGAACATTCATGTACGAGTTTTTGTGTGGACTTGTTTTTACTTCTCTTGGGTCTATACATAGGAGTAGAATTACTCAGTCATATGGTAACTCTGGTTTTAACATTTTGAGAAGCTACCAAACAGGTTTTCACAGCAGTTGCATGATTTTACATTCTTACTGACAATGTATGAGAATTCCAATTTCTTCATATCCTTGCCAACACTTCTTAAAGACTGCTTTTTTTTTTTTTTTACCCCAATGGCATTTATTAAATGAGATAAATAAACACTCATGGTAAATCTTCTGCCGTCCTCCATGACATATTATTTTAACTATCTTAGTGGATATGAAGTAATGTCTCATTGAGATTTTGATTTGCATGTCCATATTGACTAATGAGGGATTCCCTGGTAGCTCAGCTGGTAAAGAATCTGCCTGCAATGCAGGAGACCTAGGTTCAACCCATGGGTCAGAAGATTCCCTGCAGAAGGGATGGGCTACCCACTCCAGTATGCTTGGGTTTCCCTGGTGGCTCAGCTGGTAAGGAATCTGCCTGCAATGCGGGAGACCTGGATTCAATCCCTGGGTTGGGAAGATCCCCTGGAGAAGGGAATGACTACCCACTCCAGTATTCTGGCCTGGAGAATTCCATGGACTAATTAGTCCATTGACTAATGATGATATTGAGTATCTTTTCATGTATTTTATTGAACATCTATATATCTTCTTTGGAGAAATGTCTATTTAGATTCTTTGCTCATTTTTAAACCAGGTTAATTATCTTTTTATCACTGAACTATGAGTTCTTAATATGTTCTGAATAGAAATCAGTTATAAGTGACTTGCAAATATTTTGTCTCTTATTTTAAATGTCACTTTTATAATGTACCAAATTCTAACATATTGAATATAATTATGGGTTTTCTTAAGCCTCCTGCATTGACAGACAGGTTCTTTACCATTATCGCCACTTGGGAAGCCCCTAATTATGGGTTTTCTATTAAGTTCTAGTCTATCCATCTTTAAGAAAAAAATTTTTAATTGAATTACAGTTGGTTTACAATATTGTGTTAGTTTCAGGTATACATAAAAGTGATTCAGTTGTTTATTTATATATATATATGATTTTTTCAGATAATTTTCCATTATACATTATTATGAGATACTGAATATAGTTCCCTGTGCTATACAGTGAATATAGTTCCCTGTGCTATACAGTAAATCCTTGCTGCTTATCTGTATTATGTATAGTAGTTTTTATTTGTTAATCCATACTCCTCATTTATCCCTCCCTCTATCCGTCTTTTAAATTATGTAACTTTTAATACAGGAAAGAGAGTCTTCTATTTTAACATCTTCTTGGCTATTCTTTTTTTTAAAAGTAATTAATTTGGCTGTGCTGGGTCTTAGTTGCGGCACGCAGGATCTTTAATTGTGGCATGTGAACTCTTCATTGCAGCATGTGGGATCTAGTTCCCTGACCAGGGATCGAATCTGAGCCTGGTGCATGGTGAGCGCAGAGTCTTAGCCACTGGACCCCCAGAGATGTTTCTTCTTGGCTATTCTTGTCTATTTTCTCCTCTAGGTAAACTTCAGAATCATTTTGGCCAATTTGCTTAAGATGGGAGTTTTAATTAGAGGTGAAGACAAAGAAAATTTTATTCACTAGATCCTGGGGATGGAGTGAAAGTGGGTTATTAGAAAACACAGAGCTCCCTCCCATGGGAAGTACAGTCAGGTCTGGAAAACCACACTGCATTTCTCAGGGGGCTAAGAGAATATGCTTCTGAAAGCTGAGGAGAGAGCCAGTGACGTCTAAGACAGGGACCTGTATGGTTCTTCATGTAATTTCCTTTATTTATCCTCTGGTTGTCAGCAAAAATTACTAAAGATCATGAAATCAGAACATGATTAAATTTCTTACAGAAAATATCTAAGGGGCCAAAGTCTGCACATTGGGCAATGCTTGAAGTTCAGAATTTGCACAAATTGCAGGAAAGGTGAAACTGAGATGTTTAGTTCCTTTTACCCAAGGATTTACATACATAGATTTCGAAACTTCACAGATGAATCTGGAGACAGATGACACTTCTGCACTGTTAGTCAGTCCCCCATTCAGCAGCATACTATATCCCCGGAGGGAAATTGCTATGCCTGCAGGAGACCACTGCTTTGTACATGGTGATCACATCTGTACAATCACCTTGCTAAACAATACATAGATTCAAGGGATTAGATCTGATAGAGTGCCTGAAGAACTCTGGACTGAGGTTCGTGACACTGTACAGGAAGCAGGGATCAAGACCATCACTAGAAAAAGAAAGGCAAAAAGGCAAAATGGTTGTTTGAGGAGGTCTTACAAATAGCTGTGCAAAGAGGAGAAGTGAAAGGCAAAGGAGAACAGGAAAGATACACGCATTTGAATACAGAGCTCCAAAGAACAGCAAGGAGAGATAAGAAAGTCTTCCTCAGTGATCCATGCAAACAGAGGAAAACAATAGAATGGGAAAGACTAGAGATCTCTACCAAGGGAACATTTCATGCAAAGATGGGCTCAATAAAGGACAGAAATGGTAGGAACCTAACAGAAGCAGAAGATATTAAGAAGAGGTGGCAAGAATACACAGAAGAACTATACAAAAAAGATCTTCATGACCCAGATAATCATGATGGTGTGATCACTCACCTAGAGCCAGACAGCCTGGAATGGGAAGTCAAGTGGGCCCTAGGAAGCATCTCTACGAACAAAGCTAGTGGAGGTGATGGAATTCCAGTTGAGCTATTTAAAACCCTAAAAGATGATGCTGTGAAAGTGCTGCACTCAATATGTCAGCAAATTTGGAAAACTCAGCAGTGGCCACAGGACTGGAAAAGGTAAGTTTTCATTCCAATATCAAAGAAAGGCAAAGCCAAAGAATGCTCAAACTACCTCACAATTGCACTCATCTCACACACTAGTAAAGTAATGTTCAAAATTCTCCAAGCCAGGCTTCAACAGTACGTGAACCATGAACTTCTAGATGTTCAAGCTGGATTTAGAAAAGATAGAGGGACCAGAGATCAAATTGCCAACATCTGTTGAATCATTGAGAAAGCAAGGGAGTTCCAGAAAAACATCTACTTCTGCTTTATTGACTACGCCAAAGCCTTTAACTGTGTGGATCACAACAAACTGAGGAAAATTCTTCAAGAGATGGGAATACCAGACCACCTGACCTACCTCCTAGGAAATGTGTGTGCAGGTTAAGAAGCAACAGTTAGAATTGGACATGGAACAACAGACTGGTTCCAAATAGGAAAAGGAGTACTTCAAGGCTGTATATTGTCACCCTGCTTATTTAACTTATATGCAGAGTACATCATGAGAAATGCTGGGTTGGATGAAGCACAAGCTGGAATCAAGATTGCCAGGAGAAATATCAACAACCTCAGATATGCAGGTGACACCACACTTATGACAGAAAGGGAAGAACTAAAGAGCCTCTTGATGAAAGTGAAAGAAGAGAGTGAAAAAGTTGGCTTAAAACTCAACATTCAGAAAATTAAGATCATGGCATCCAGCCCCATCACTTCATGGCAAATAGATGGGGAAACAGTGGAAACAGTAACAGACTTTATTTTGGGGGGCTCCAAAATCACTGCAGGTGGTGACTGCAGCCATGAAATTAAAAGACACTTGCTCCTTGGAAGAAAAGTTATGGCCAACCTAGATAGCATACTAAAAAGCAAAGACATTAGTTTGCCAACAAAGGTCCATCTAGTCAAAGCTACGGTTTTTCCAGTAGTCATGTATGGATGTGAGAGTTGGACCATAAAGAAAGCTGATGGGCGAAGAATTGATGCTTTTAAACTGTGGTGTTGGAGAAGACTCTCGAGAGTCCCTTGGACAGCAAGGAGATCCAACCAGTCCACCCTAAAGGAAATCAGTCCTGAATGTTCACTGGAATGACTGATGCTGAAGCTGAAGCTCCAATACTTTGGCCACTGATGAGAAGAGCTGACTCATTTGAAAAGACCCTGATGCTGGGAAAGATTGAGGGCAGGAGGAGAAGGGGACAGAGGATGGCGTCACTGACTCAATGGACATGAGTTTGAGTAAGCTCTGGGAGTTGGTAATGGACAGGGAAGCTTGGTGTGCTGCGATTCATGGGGTCACAAAGAGTCAGACACCGAGTGATCGAACTGATCTGAACGACATAAACAAGTGTAAGTCTTCGCTGGGCTAGTTTACCAGCCAGCTATGCAGCTTAAAGTTTGTTCTCCTGGACTAGTGTGTTTCTTTGTTGTTGTTTCATTCTTGCGATTACTAGGATTAGCTGAATAAAGGTGGGGTAATTTGAGATGGGACTGACAAAAAGTTTGGTTGTACTTTATTTTGACTAGTTAGTGGCTTATTTACAACCTGATGATATGAGAGCTTCTGTTAACCATTATAGCTTAGGTTGTCCAAAGCAATGGACCATGTATGGCTCAGATAACTTAGATTCAGCTAGGATTCAGAGGTGCTGCATGGCCTATGCTCTTTGCACATGAACTTTCTCAGAGACCCAGGTGGCTGCCTGATTAAAGCAGAGCACCAGGGCAGAACTGGGGTCTCCATGGTGTCAAGGTGATCGGGTCCATGAGCAGGGTGCTTTTCTACCATGTTCATTCTCAATTTGCTCAGGCACTGGTTAATGAAATCAGTCTCTCCCCTGGCGTTTGCCTTTCCAACTAAACCCGACACACCAGCACAGCCTCTACATTTTAAAAAAAATATTATTTTATGCTACTTGATATGTTTCTAATATTTTCTTATTGAACTTCACATTTCTTATTAAATTTAATCCTAGATATAACTATGCTTTTATAATTAATTTAAATTGGAGGATAATTACGGTATTATGATGGTTTTTGCCATACATCAACATGAATCGGCCACAGGTATACATGTGTTCCCCCACCCCCATACTAACTATGTTTTAACTTAATAAAGGTCTAACAGGTTTTCCCAGCAACTTATCTGGGTGTAGTAAGCTATTCCATCTAATCGTAGTAGCTCTGAGGGAAACCTGGAGTTGATGCTCTGCACAACAACTGAATACATACCTCCCTCTTTGAGTTTAGGAGTAAAATAAAGCAGGCAGATCCCAAAGTTCAGAGCCTGAGTTGGTGGAGACAGACTGAGACTTCAAAGTGAGTAATGGGATTAACCAACACCTAGTTCAGGCTCTTTGTTCCCAGACCTGCTATGAAAAAGAAGAGTAGATTTTCATCATGAAGGAAAGAAAAAAATGAGGCCTAGAAAGTTGAATTTCTTAAAATGCCTCTGAAAAAAGGAAAAGCTGGAACAATGAGTAAAGTGGTTAAAACTTCAGTGTGCACAATCATCTAGGAGAAGAAACTAAAAGTCTGAGAGAAAAAGAAGACAGACTCAAGGAAAGGCTTAAGGAAATAGAGTAGCCAGTCATACTTGAGACACTAACAGCAGGAAAAAAAGTTTTAGATGAGACAATAAAAGATTAATTCAAGATTCCCTAGGGCTTGTGAATATTGTTGAAAAAAGACTGGGATGACCAAGTGTTTTCCCCATTGCATGTTAATTCAAAGTTTATTTGTGTTTGGCTGAAACAAGAGTGACAAAATGTGAATTACAGATGAGAAGTTAGAACTATAGAAGACTGAAAATTAGCTTAGACAAGGAGAGTCTAGGAGATGTCTAGTTGAAGTAGTCATGGCCATGGAATTCAAGGGGACAAACATTTAGCTCTTTTTACGGCTGAATAATATTCCATTTGTGTGTGTGTGTGTGTGTGTGTGTGTGTAGGAGCTGGGATAAAAGGAGCTAAATATATACACACACACACATCACATCTTCCTTATCCATTCATCTGCCTGTGAACATTTAGGTTGTCTCCATGTCTTGGCTATTGCAAACAGTGCTCCTGAAAACATATGGGGTGCATGTTCTGATGATGGGCATTCTGACAAGTGTCAGGTGGGTACTTCATTATAATTTGATTTGCATTTTAATAATTAGCAATGTTGAGCACCTTTTTCATGTGCCTACTGGCTATCTGCACTTCTTTTTTGGAGAAATGTCTAGGTATTCTGTTCATTTTTTGATTGGGTTGTTTGGCTTTTCTGTTGCTGTTATTGAATTGTATGAGCTGTTTAGAAATTAAGTCCTTGGTCACATCGTTTGCAAATATTTTCTCCCAATCCATAGGTTGTCTTTTCATCTTGCCTATGGTTTCCTTTGCTGCACAAAAGCTTGTAGGTTTGATAAGATACAATTTGTTTATTTTTGCTTTTATTTCTATTGGCTTGGAAGACTGACCAAAGGCATTGTTGCAACATTGTTACAATTTATATCAGAATGTTTTTAATATGTTCTCTTCTGGGAGTTTTATGGTGCCCTATTTTTAAGTCTTCAAGCCATTTTAAGTTTATTGTTGTGTACTGGTGTGAGGGTATGTCCTGATTTCATTGATTTACACTAGCTTCATGTTCTTGGTTCATAAGAAGATGCAGGAGAAATTGGTCAGTTCGCCTGTTTTCCTCAGCCCTCTCTCTTTCAGCAGTTCTGAGAGTACAGGCAGACTAGCTGCCTTTTCCCTCTGTTGGGAGTTGCCCGACTTCCTCTTCCTGGAACTAGGGCCTCTGTCCTGGTCATGGGCTACTTCCAAGAATCAGACAACTGTGTAACAACAGAAAGTAAAGAAGGTGTAGTGTGGCCTTAAATCAGTGACCTAATTTCATTCTCTGTACCTTCTCCATTCCTCAGTAGGAAGCCTGAACACTGAACTACAGTCTGGTTTGCCTTCTCAAAATTTTATGTCAGAAAGATTTTTTTTTTTCAAGTCAGGCTGGTTTATCCTTAAAGATGCCTTGGCTGTGATAACTCCAGCTCCTTTTAGTACTTATATTCACCACAGGAAAGCATGAAACTGGTACAGAAATCCTCTCTCACACCATAGCCAGATTCACTAGCCCTGTCTGTAAAAAGTCTACAAAAGCTGAACTTACCTGCTTCAGCAACTGATTTTCCACACTGACCGCTTCTCTTTTAGCAAGAGGCAGTTGTGAACAATGGGGAGAGGAAGAGGAACACATATTTTCCTGTTCAACTTCCAATAAAAGTACAAAAGATGAGCAATTATAACAACTTAAAATTTTCAAAAGGCAAAATGGTGGAGGTTCTCATTTTAAGTACAAAGGATTTACTTCTGCAAAGTATATTTCCTTTCCTGGTCAGTTAGCTCAACTGGTAGTTTGGTAGGTTGGGAGTCTATTTATTTGTCCTATATGTGAGTGCACACACATGTGCAAGCATGTATGCACTTTTTAGAGGCAATAATGAGGTACAGACTTAAGAGTTCACCTACCTCCATTTTGTTTGTCCTCACTTTCCTTTTTAGATACACACATTGCAGAGTAGTTTCAGTTATTATTCCCCAGAACTTCTGTAAGGAAATAAAAACATTTAGAATGAGAATTTCTCATTGCCGATACCATTTAACTTAAACATATACTTAACAAACTTGGAACTTGACCTCTAAAATCCAAAATAAATCTACCTCTAAAAATACATATGCTAAATTTTAGAATTCATTACAAACATCCTTACCATAAAGTTATAGTTTTAAAACTTGGGAAATAAATTCCACTTTCTGGCAACCAAATCTAAGCTGATAACTATAATCTGTCAGAAAAATTAGCTGAAACTTGGAAACAGGAAAAATAAATTATTGGGTGATCTGTCAGTGAAGTTCTGGTTAGTTTTTTATTGACTGGAGTATTCTATAACTCCATCGAGCAGCAGTTAACTTATGGATTTTCATCTAATATAGATACAAATATTTTATGTCTAGTGGAAAAGATAACTCCAAAATTTAGGACTAACTTTAGGCGCCAGTGAGTTAATAATAGTTGGATGTAAAACGAGAAATGAAGTGCTGGTTATTGTGACAAATTGATCAGTGCCTGCTTTCTATAAAAGTATCCAAAATTTTTAAAAAGTAAAATGAAATACTGTGTAAGCCAAAAAAATTCACGTGTGCTGCAAGTTTTGTACCCCAACCTAAGGTCTGTTTCTTCTGCCAGCAGAATCTGTGTGCTCCTAACCAATATTAGCTATTCTAACATCACCATTCTTGAGGCACCCTGAGAGGTCTCAGGAACCCCCATAGTAGGTTCAAATCCCACAGGGCCGTCAGCAGCTTTGAGAGGGTAGCTTGGCTAAATGCACACAAGCAGCACAGCTTGGAATGTGAAATGGTTATGACACTTAACAGCCAGCCAGGGACCTGACTAATGAGTATTTAGCTAGAACCAGGCATTCACCCAATCCTCTGACACTCTCTGAATGCACATCACATTACATAGCAGCCAACTGGAAAGTACATTTAAGCTGTTAAACTCAGAGGAGGGGTGGAAAAATGTGAGGGAAGGGAAGAAAAAATGCAATGTGGGAGGAAAAAGGGAAGAGATGGAGCAAAAAAACGAAGAAAAAAAAGGATTAGAAGCCAGAGAACTGGGTTTCATATCAAACTCTGCTACTAATCAACAACATGTTTAAGGTCTTTACTGCATTGGTAATAAAAAAATATTTCCTTGAAAAATAAAAAATAACAATGTGACTTGGGCCAAGTTATTAACCACTTCATGTCTCAAATTTCTCCTACAATGAGACTATTAAAAAAAAAAAAAACAGAAAATAAGTTAAGCAGATACAAGATGGAGGAAAAACTTGATAAGGAATAAATTTGCCAGAGAGAAGTTTAGGGGTAATTACACATAACAAACTAAATACAACATTAGTTTCCATTAGAGGGCTAAGAAGAAGAGCTGTGAGAGGATTAAATAATATATGACAACGTCTCCCACAGTACTTGATATAAAGTAGTCAATCAATAAATGTCAATATTTTAAAATTGTAATATACAGGCCTATCAGATTGGTGAAAAAATTTAAGTCTAATAATACTGTGTCTGAGAGAAAGTGGAACTATTGGAACACTTACACACTGTTGCTGATATTAAAAATTGGACTACTTTGGAAAACAATTTGGCCTTATCCAATAAAACCGATGGAGCATTTACCCTATAATCCGGCCAGTCCATCTTATGAATATACCCAAGGGAAACTGTCATAATACATCACATGCAAGGATGTGTGCTGCTAGCACTGCTCTCAATGGCAAAACTGGAAACCAACCAAATGGCTATAATGGTAGAAGAGAGAAGTAACTTGTGGTATGTTCATAAGATGGAAAGCTACATAGTAGTGAAAATGAGTGAGCTAAGTTATACACATTAACAATGTTAAATTTCAGGAATACAATATTTAGGGGGAAAAATGCAAAAGAATATATAAAGTATTATTCCACTTACATAAAGATAAAGATCATGCAAAACTATATCATCAGGGATAACTATGTTCAAGGTAAATCTATAAAGAAAAACAAGGGAATGAAAAATACAAAATTCAGGACAGAGGTAGGGAAAGGGAGGGGAAGTGGGATGGAAAAAGCATACTGAGAACTTCAAGGTACACTTGTGCTCATGGTGTTATTCTTTACAACTTACAATTTGTTATAAACTTTATATCTATTCAGCATATGACAATAACAAAAGAACTAAAAAATTAAAGTGAACATGTTGGCGGTGGTGGCTGGGTCACTAAGTTGTGTCCAACTCTTGTGACCCCATGGACTGTAGCCCGCCAGTCCATGGGATTCTCCAGGCAAGAATACTGGAGTGCGTTGCCATTTCCCTCTCCATGGAAGTGAACATATCAGATAGGAAATACTCTTCCCCTCTTACTGAGGAAAGTCATTTTTAAATAACACTTATTAAAAGAGTAGGCCCAATTCAGGTTATTACACTAAAATTTTTATTTTGAGATAATTTTAAACTTACAAAAGAGCTGCAAAAATAGTATATAGAGGTTTTCCATACATTCTCCGCCCACCTTCTTACATTAGTATCTTATATAACCTTAAAACAATGAACAAACTAAGAAATTAACCTTGGTATAATACTATTAACTGAAGTATGGAAAATATTTATTTATTTCCAATTCTTCCCACTAACGTCCTTCTGTTGTTGTTTCAGGACATAATCCAGGATCCCATGTTACATTTACTTGTATGCCTCTTTCAACCTGCGAGTGTCCTTCATTCTTTTGTTTTTCATAATCTTGACCGTGTTGAAGGTGACTGGCCAGCTCTCCTCTAGAGCGCGCCCCAACTCGAGTTTGGGGTGCCCTTCTCACTGTGTCATATCAGGGGGTACATGCTGTCACATGTACTCCTAGTGATGTGAACCTGGAATGCTTAGCTAAGCTGGTGTCTGCCAGAACTTCCCACTATAAACCTACTATTTTCCCCTTTACAATTACTAAAAATTTGGGAGGGGGACACCAAAACATTTTAAAAAGAAGACTGAAAAACAGCAGAGTCATAAATGAGTCATCAAGGAAAAGTCAAGAAATAATAATACCAGCCTCTATAAGACATAGTTACAGGAACAAAAGCTCTTTCATTTAGACATGAGAATCTAAGGGTAGAAATGAAAGGTCCCACTTTGAACTGATAACCTCCAAGCTGCCTAGACTTTGAAATGAACTGCCTAACATAGAAATGGGGGGGATGGTGGAGTACTGATCTACCAATCTATTAGAGTTCCAACTGGCATCACACTGCAAACCAACTTCAAGTTCCCCCAAGCCACAGCTGTGATTCTGTACTGCCAGCATCCTGTACCCTCCTCACACTTATATATAAAAACTAGCGAATTTACGAACTGCAAAGTATTAGAGAAAGTCTTTATAATTAGCATAGTCTGAAAACTACATAAACTAAAACACAGTGTAGTCTAGCAAGGGCATATTTGTGATACAAACATAGCCAATGACTCAGTACTAGAAGATCACAGACAGCATGCACACAGTCATTACTGACTTTCAAAAAGCAAATCTGTCTTCCAGAGAATAGAGTTCTTTACCAATGAAGGAACAAACCCTGGGTTGACCTGAATGCTTGTGAGAATCTGAGGGAAGGACTCTCACATAGAAGAGATGTGCCCATCATCCCTGGATTAAAAGAAGAGCTACATTTCCCTCAAAACAGTTGTGTAAAATCATGGATGCTTCCAGCCTACTCCATTAAGGTTTCTCTGTGTTAGCTATTATAGCTGATCCACAAATCCCAGAGTTACGCCGGAAATCAGTGTTCCTCTGTCTCAATCCCCACCCCCATGAATCTCAGCAAAGGTAATAGCAGCTTTCTGCTTAATTCTTTTTTCTCTTTTTAAAAAATTCTACAGAAGCACCTATACTAAGGGCTGCCCTGGTGGCTCAGAGGGTAAAGTGTCTGCCTGCAATGCAGGAGACCCGGGTTTGATCCCTGGGTTGGGAAGATCCCCTGGAGAAGGAAATGGCAACCCACTCTGGTACTCTTCCCTGGAAAATCCCATGGACGGAGAAGCCTGGTAAGCTATAGTCCATGGGGTCGCAAAGAGCCGGACACGACTGAGCAACTTCACCTATACTAAAAAAAAAAAATAAAAAGCAAGTCTTACCCTGAAAGGCTTTTAAAAGGCACAGCCTGAAAACTGCCAGAACTCCACACTACACCTCTCTTCTTAGTTGCAGTCCTTGCCTTAAGTTAAGTTGCTCCGTCATGTCCGACTCTTTGCAACCCTGTGGACTGTATGTAGCCCACCAGGCTCCTCCGTCCATGGGATTCTTCAGGCAAGAATACTGGGGTGGGTTGCCATTACCCCTCCCTTATTCCAACCATAAATTCTGACAGGAAAACACTCTACAAAAACAAAGATCTTCTAAACTTAGTAACTCTAAATCTCTGGTAGGGGAAGGAAGAGGTTGAAATACCTACTAGTCTATGAGGACACTTAGATGACTAGATCTCCTTCAGTTTCCTATGTCTGATTCCTGGCTTCTGGGAACTTGTCAAATTCTGTGTACATGTTTGTGTGTGCATTTTAAAATTGTTTCCTTTAAATAGGGAAAGTGAAGAGAGCTTCAAAACCCTTGTCTGCAACTTGCTTCTTCCAAAGGTGGTCCATGGATCCCTCATAACCTTCCAATTAACTTGGATTTGGTTTCAAGTGGTTTAAAGCAAAAAGAATATAGGATGAATATAAAACAAAACTTCAAACACAATGGAATAGAAAAAATCCTGCAAAACAGAACACTTTCTTAGCCACTGCTTTTATTTTCAAACTCATGGTCTTCCCCAGGAGTTATCTGCTCAGCCTATAAGACAGGCTTTGTAAAGCAACTGTGTGCTACAGAACCCTCTCTTTTCTGCCTAGAGTTTTAATTTGGGTCTGAACAAATGTTGGAGTCCACACAATCTACTGGCACTTGTAATTTTGCTGTCTTGCAGAGAAAGTTCCTTATTA